CCCTATGCGGAAGGGAAAGGGCATAACGGTGGAGAAGCAAGATTAGTAATAATAAACTAACTTTGGAATAACCATAGATTGAGGAGCTGAGATATCATCATCGAGTAGGTACATTAAGAAGAAGAGAGTAAATCGATTGAAACGACGAGATGCAACCCTTATCGTTTGCATCCTCATTCGGTCTAGCGTGGGTCCGTGACCACCACTGCGGTTTCTACTGCAGCAACAATTGCGTCTTCTGCTACTGCATCCACGGCCTCTACTGTTGCGGTGGCTGCTTTGCCCATCTTGTTCGACTCCACCCCATTGCTGCTTCCCCACAGCAAATGATCTTTCAGCGCTTGATATCCTCCGCGGAGACTGTCCGCTGCTATCCCCTTGGCCCGCAATACACTACTGGCTACCCGCGCGGTATCCCCATGGTAGCAGAGCATTAGCACCTGATGGCCACTCAACTTGCCAAGCACATCTGCATTGCTGAATAACGCTTCCAACTCCAGCCACTGTGCCTCCAGTACGTCTGCGTCGCTGAATGGCTTGGCTGTATGAGAGTCGAGACTGTGCAGGGGAATGTTTACCGATCCCGGGAGGTGCCAAGTGCCAAAGTCTCCCGCGGTCCTCAAATCCAACACGCAGCGCAGAGGCCGGAGCACCATAGCGCTCAAGGGGTGGGTTGAAAAGCATTGGGGTATTTCGTAATAGTCGGTGAACAGAACCACAGGACTTCTTTCCCAGCTCTCATCATACCGGTAGAGATCAACGCCACCGAGGTTCTACATGAACAACAGTCAGCATACCCAAGCTCCTCAATTCAATATACGTAGCTCGCCGACCCACCTGGTTACGAATTGGAGGAAACCTCTCGGGCCCTAGCTTCTCGAAATAGTCGCCAACGTATTGATATGGCAGATCGAAGCATAAGAAGACACAATGGATCGAACCATCTGGTCCCGCTAGTTGTCGCAAGGTTCTAGCCCTCTTGCGATTCTCCAGCATCTGATAAAGTCCCTTCAAACTCAAACCGGATGACGGCCCACAGACGACCCCTTCGCGACACAAGTCCAAGGATAACGAGAACGCGTCATATGAACTGACTTCTTCGTGCACGTCCAGCGCTTCCCTCCAGGGAAACTCCTGTACCTGCATCAGGGCAAATGTCCGTGGTCCTGGAACCCGGTCCCCGGGTGCAGTGCACACTCCAAGCCGTAGCACAGATGGCTTGATTTCTTTGAAGTAGGTCCCTAATCCTGTCATCGTCCCCGATGTCCCCATCCCGGCACAGAGCACGTTGATCTCTGGTAATTGCTTGAATATCTGGGGGCCGGTCCAGCGGATGTGCGCATGCCAGTTATCGTCATTGTCATACTGGTTGGGGTTAACAATCTCCTCAGACCCCATGGCCATCGCCCGAGCAGTCTGGATGCCCCCGCGTTCATCTAACGGGTCAGGTTGAGATGGGCCACCGAACAGGGTGACATCCAGCCCGAAGAACTGCATCATCCGTAACTTAGTCTCGGTGGATTTGTTACTCAGGAAAGCCCTGGTGTCGCTAATACCATGCATCAATCGAGCGAGCATAGACATCGAGATGACTGTGGAACCTGAGCTGAATTCCACGATTGTCTTGGTCTTGCCAGGCACCACGGTTTTCTCGAGCAGGTTCATCGCTTGTTCCGTCAGTGCCAGGGCCAGGCACAAGGGAACTCTTGAGGGCCAACATACCTGGTATGGCTTTCACGTTGTTTGCCGGGTGCATTGTCATCATTTTGGCATAGATCCGTACCCCATCTTGGTGGAACGGGTTCAATCGATCGGGCAACTCCACCAGAGGTAACGGAGGCTGGCAATCCGGATCAAAGTACTTCTTGAGCGCATCCGGTCCAAAGTACACATTGTGCTCGTTAATGTTGGCCATTATGTCAGATTATCAGTATTGACGGGAGTATTGACCGCAATATTGAGCCAACAATCACCCAAGGACGGGAGCATCAAATTATACGGCCCTGCTACAGAAACATGCAGCCACCCTCCCACGCGCGAGATGCGCTCTTTCCGGCGTGATCTTCGCATTCGGCGCATCGCTAGCGTCCCACTGAGCTTGGTTTGATGCACATCTCAGGGCCGCTTCAGGAAGGTCCGTGTCTCACGTTGAGCACTTATTCAAGGGAGTGGGTTGGGTTGGACTCCTATTCGTCGAAGACTGGCGCAAATGTGCTCAGATTGACGTTCTACGTATGCCTCTTGTTCAAGTAATCGAAGTTACTCTGAAAACAGCTCCGGACTCAAGGTCGTTGGACTCGACTTCGCTATACTAGGTTCTTACGCTCCGCGGCCTATCCTCTGATGACGGAACCCAACATTCCAAGGTTGTCATATGTAATAGCCCCATGTCTAGGAAGAGGGGTACCTCAAAAGATCCACAAGTCACAACGGCATAGTAGCTGCAACCTTATACGAAAGCACGAGGGCATTTGCGTTGATTTAGTCGATCCTTTCCCTTTTAGCCCTAACCGGCGAGGAGGTGGCCCTGACACGCAAGGAGCCGTCCACTGCTTCTATCTCTTTGCACCGTAATATTGTCGCTGCCGAGTTAGCCCTCCCCCTCGAGTCAGTTTTACTTCACGGTCTTAGTTGGTTTTATTACGAAGCCTCGCTTGTAAGCCCATAGCGCCTTGCAGCGATAACTAGGCTCAGTCTTGTCAACTGACCCTTTCGTTACTCCTGGATAGGCTCGCGCCCTCGTCTCAGGACATTGACCTCAGCGAGAGATAAAATGTCTGCGACTTCAATTGAGGATAAAGTCAAGCATGATAATCCATCGAGTGTCTCTCGAGATGTTGCCACCGAGTCTAGCGGAGACGAGAGCAGACCAGCGGCACCACAGCCCTTCTTTAACGAGCAGACGAACTATGTGCCACTGAGCACGATCATCACGGTATCTTCCCTCACATGGACGGTCAACTATTAACAACCTATCTAACTTGCCGCAGATATTCCTAGCATGCTCGACAGTTGACCTAGTAGCGGTCATGGACCAGACCACTCTAGCCGGGAGTTTATCCATAATCGGCAATACATTGGACGCCAGCAATAAAACCTCGTGGATATCAGGAGGATATTTCCTGTACGTCCAGCCCAGAAGCAAGACATGACTCTAGTCCACTAACTTAATGAAGAACATCAACCTGCTTCCAACTTCTATACGGGCGACTCTCTGACATCTGGTCCCGGAAATACGTCCTATACGTAGGCCTCGCCATCATGTTCTTCGGTTCTCTAGCATCATCTCTAGCACAGACCGCCACGCAACTTATCATCTTCCGCGCCTTCACCGGCATGGGCGGGGGCGGAATCACGTCCATCGCACAGATGATAGTCAGTGACGTCGTACCACTCCGCGAGCGAGGTAAATATCAAGGCATTCTCGGTGCCGTAATAGCCATCGCCAACGGCATCGGCCCTGTGATCGGGGGTGCTCTATCCCCGATCTCCCACAACTCGTGGAGATGGATCTTCCGGCTTATGCTGCCGCTCACGGTTATTTCAATTCTGGCAGTGATGTTCTTCATGCCTTTGCGAAAAGTCACCGGTGACTGGAAAGCGAAGCTGAAAGCCGTTGATTTCTTCGGCGCGTTTCTAGCACTCGGAGGCACCGCGGTACTTATGCTCGGACTGACCTGGGGCGGTGGCGAGTATGTCTGGAAATCGGCACACGTTATAGCGACGCTCGTCGTGGGGTTTGCTGTCTGTGTGGCGTTTGTCCTATGGGAATGGAAGGGACATCCGTATCCGCTGATACCCATGCATATATTCAAATCGCGCATTGTGAATGGAGCCTGTCTGACTATGTTCATCAATGGGTGGAATATCATAGTCATGCTGTATTACATCCCGACATTCTATCAGCTAGTGTTCGATTACTCGACTACCAAGGCTGGTGCAATGGTTTTACCCATCACATTATTACAAAGTATGTCGACTCGCCCTATCTACCATCCCTCTACTTTCCTATCTCATGCTCACATGGAACCAAACTGCACCAGCTCTAGGCAGCACCCTCTCCGGCCTAGTCGTCCACTGGGTGGGCCGATATCGCGAATCCATCCTCATCGGCTGGATGATCTGGGCCATCGGACTAGGCCTGATGTCGACCCTAAACGAGACATCCAACCTGGGGAAACAGATAGGTTACGGCCTACTGACAGGTATAGGTTCAGGGAATACATTACAGCCGTGAGTCCCTCCACCCATCATACATACCCCAGAACAACTCACAATACCAACCTGACCCACTGCAGTGCCCTAATCGCCGTCCAAGCCGGCGTCGCCAGACGAGACATGGCCATCGTAACCTCATTCCGAAAGTACATCCACCCCCTCTTAAACCCCATAATCCATCACGCACTAACACCTCTCACTCCAAAAAAACAGCTTCATCCGTAACCTAGGCGGCACCCTCGGCCTCGCTGTATCCGGCACAATCATGTACGTATATACCCACCCACATAACCTCCATTCTCCATCCATCAAAAGCACCACTGACAAAACGTAGAAACAACCTCCTCTCCACGACCATCAACACCCTGCACCTAACCACATCGCAGAAACAATCCTTCCTCGCTAGCCCGTCCAATTACCTGTCGAAACTCCCCGAAGACGAAGCAGCAAAAGTTCGTGCGCTGCTTATCCCCGCGTACAAAAGGGGCTTCAGGATCGTGTTCACGGTGAATGCGGCGCTCGCGGCATTGGCGTTTCTCTTGGCGGTTGGATTGATGCCGCAGGTGGGGTTGGAGAGGGCGGATGATGAGAGGTTGAAGGAGGAGGGGAGGAGAGGTGAGCAGAGAGGAGATGGGGGGGATTAGTGGTTTTTCTTATGCTGGGTACTAAGATGGAGGGTATAAATGTAATTGGTGACGGGGGTGCGTGGGAGGCTATTTCTCGTGCTAGTGGGTTTAGTAGAGGAGCATCAAATCAAATAGACTAGAGTGAAGTGAAAAGTCATTCTTGAGAAGCCATTCATTTAAGAAGAAGTAGTAGTGTAACACCCGGAAAACTTGAAAGCAGGTCGTTGATCATGTTCATCATCATCAAGCCAGTCCAATCCAATCAATCTAGCTAGCTATGCTGCAGCAACATCAATTTAACCAATCAATCAATCGTTCAATCGTTCAATCTGCTGTATGATTCTCTTAGACCAGCTGAATCAACAATGCCCGAAACACCCCGAGACGCCCAACACAGAAGGGAAAAAAAAAAGAAGAGGGGGCTAAAATTCATCAATCACTAGGACTCGTTCCACAACCCAGTCTACCAACGTCTGTCCCTCTATTCGCCATCGTCCATCCCGCCACACCTCATCCAGCCAGTAACTCATGCCCTTGCCGTGATGGTGAAGGATCAACCCTCCATTGCCGCGGCGTTTACCCTCCGCTTTTGAGAAATCATTGTTCACGCGAAGAGTCCCGATGCCCACACCGGTCGTGCCTTGACGAGCGTGCCATTCGCGTTCGGCTTTCTCGCCGGCACGACGCGCCACGGCTTCTTCATCTTCGTCTTGGTAGAGCTCGCATTTGTTGCATTCCGTACAGCGCGAGCCGGGATCAATGCGGAAGTGCTCGCAGAAGTGCTTGTAGCCTTCCATTTCTTCGAATTCGTCGTCGTTGCCGGCTTCTTGTTCGTCGTTGATGGCGTCCGGTCCGACCGCCGGATCGACATTCTCAACGAGGTTGGCACGACGGCGTGGTCGAAGTCGTCCTAGTCGGTTTGCAGACTTGATCGGAGAACCAAGAGCCTTGCGGCAGAGGTAGCACATGGAATAGCCGCAGACGCAGGTCAGTTTGTTGCAGCCGGAGGATTTGACGAATGAGAGGCCGCAGCGCGGACAGGTGCGCTTGACAGCTGCAGTGCGAGCGGCCTCGACGGTGGCCCGGAGGTCGAGGAGAAGCGGTTCATGGCACACGTGAGGGTCACGCCATGGTTTCTGGCAGGTGATGCAGCTGACGCGTCCGCATGCGGGGTGCGCGCAGGTGAATTTCTTGGGTCGGGTTTTGAGGCAGAGGTTGAGGAGAGCGTTCTGGAAGATGATGAATACAGCAGAAGAGTTGACAAAATAAAGAATCGCTAGAGGAATGATAAGTAAGGGTATCAAGTCGAGTAAGAAGATGGTGATCAGAAGCGTAGAGAGGAACCCGTCGCGACGAAAGCGCCAAACAAGGCCTTGAGCAGACGGGTGGTAAACCGGATCAACTTCGGCGTACGAGCAAAACGGACACCGAATGAGCTTCAGCTGGGACTTGAGCAGAACCTCGGAGGAAAGGCGCGTCTCGAATTTCGTAAAGGTCTCAGGTCCGGCCTTGTCAAGCAAGATAGCCTGCTTGACGATCGCTGGGTCCAAGGTCCCGGGGCAACTGTCGTGATCGAAGGGCGCCAAACATTTCAGCGTTGACTTTTCCACATCAACCGATTTACCCCAGCCTTGACCGAACAGAGCCTCATGGATGGTTCGCCGGATGCAGCCATAGCAAATGATGTGCATATTGTCCGAGCATGTTGAGATTTGCTCAAAAGTCACGTCGTCCAAACAGCACTCGCACTCATAAACAGCATCAGCCTCCTTGGCTTCTGTATCGTTCAGCTCCTCCGCCAACTTCTGGTCTCTAACAAGTCTCTCCTCCCGCCTGGTTCGAAGTAGGGGTGCCAGCAAGGCCCGATACAGCTCCCGGTCCAGCTCCGGGCACTCCGTCTTCTTCAGCCGCGGGATCATGTCACCATCCGGCTGACGCTGCCACACGATGAGTGGATGCTCGTTCTTATCTTTACCGCGCTTGAACGAAGGGAGAATGCTGTTGAAGGTCGCACGCCAGGTCCTCCGGGAAAGATCTTGCAGAGTCGGACGGGCTCGCAGATAAGAGAAGTTCACTTCAGCCAGTACTGCCTCCACCGTACTCTTGCTCAGACCATTAAACTCCTTCGTGAGAGCCGCCTTCACGGCAGCTTTATATTCGTTTGTCCGGAATAGCTCATCAGGCGGAACTGCATGCTCATGTCCGGTATGTTGTTGCTGTAGATCATCTTTGCCATCTTCTTCCGTTCCCCCAGTCCCAGCTGGCACGTTCCATCGCCCGGCTACCCACGCCTCTTTGTGACGTAGCAACTGCTCGACGCAGACATGGAGACGGCTCTGCCCATCGAACCGGACCAGGAGCTCTCGGAAGACTTCGATACGAATATCGGGAAAGATTCGAGCTAGGGTCTGCAGAGCCTGGTTTAGCTCCTCTTGTTCTCGTTTCTGTTCCTCGGAGGGGGTATTCGAGGCGGCGAGGGAGCGAGATCGGGAGGTGATGCCGAAAGGATTATTGCGGAGAGCCTCGCTGATGGTTGTAGAGTTGCTGCTGTCGCTGGCACGAAGCGCGGAGGAGGTGGTGGATCTAGAAAAGCTAGGGACAGATAGGGAGAGCACCATCGTTGCACTGACGGAGGGGCGCAAGACCGAGCTTGCTACATGATCGTCGGAGGGTAGACGGGAAGGCGTCTGGCCAGAAGGAAGGGTATCTGGCGAGCGAACTTAATTCCAGCTTAGTGTCGGGAAGCCAGCGAGATGGTAGAAGACGGCGTGGGATGGGGCGTGGGGGAAGGGAAAGATGATGGGGTGATCAGTTGGATGGGAAGATGGGAAGATGGGAAGATGATGGGAAGCGGAATGATGGAATGAATCAATCGGGAGGAGTTGACTTCCGTGACTTTACTCCAAATGATCCAATCACGGGACTGGTTCAATGCTCCACCCAACACTTCTCCGAATATACTTCAACTAATTATGTACAAGGATGTATTGATAGCATAACGATGAGGCGATGCTGCATCCTAATTATCCGCTCCTGATCTGACAGCTTGAGGCTGATTTTGACTGGTAAGATAATTGTTGGCCCAAGAATTTTCACAGGCTTGACTAGGGGACTCTACACGATACATACTTGGCGTGTACTATTTGGATGACATATTCCTGGAATACTCATGTTCGAAAGGGAATGAAATTACCCTTATCATTCGAAATAAACACACATTTCTTTTATCCAAGTTTATCGTTCCTCTAAATGGATGCCTGGCATAAGCACCTACTGGTGCCTGATCCAGCCTACCCTCCCGTACTCTTATGGAATCAAAGTAATACAACCCACCACAACAGCTCTCAACCACCCCAATCACCCCATCATACATAATGACATCTAAGAACAAGAGCGTGCGACTCACACCATCCATGATTCCCGACCTTCCCAACTACGATGTTAAAGAATCATCTTTCTTCACAAAATGGGAACAATTACCTACCCCGGAAGAAGTGCAAGCACAAGCCAAAGCCCAGCATCTCGCTGGAATAAATCCAGATAGAAGGAAAGACTATTCCACCGACTCATTTCATACTAGACCACCGCCCGTTCTATTTGAAGAAATGAATATGTTTGTTAAGTGGGGAAAGTCTCTCAAAATATCCGAAGCTTACTGTCTATATGCTATCCATCGATATCTCAAGGACCATGTCCCCGTCCCCGAGGTATATGGATGGCGCACTGAAGGAGAGGTGATATACATCTACATGGAGTATATAAAGGGAAAGACATTGGAACAAGCATGGGATGTCATGGCAGAGGAAGATAAAACAGGCATCTGTCATGAGCTTAAGGTAATCTGCGATCGACTTCGTCTGCTCGAACAGGACCCGGAGGAGATATTCGTCGGTACAGACACTGATTCCATCTATCCTGTGGGATACTGACCATTCTCATCATAGGCAACATCGCGCAAAAACCCATCTACGATAGAACCTTCAGCATCAACCACCTGCACGAAGCAGGCCCATTCCCCACCGTCCGCCAATTCCACGACTGGTTCACATTCCTTCCCCGGCGCCAGATGTCGGATCCATACTCTGTGCCTATAGAACCATATCGCTATGGTCTTCCAGACCACTGTGCCATCAAATTCACGCATGGCGATCTCCATCGCAGTAATATCATCGTCACATCCTCTTCTCCATACCGTGTAATGGCAATCATCGACTGGGAGCAATCCGGCTGGCTGCCTGCATACTGGGAAGTGCGCAAGGCGCAAATGTCAACTTGGAGTGGTGAAGAATGGGCATCTGTCTATCTTCCCATGGTTCTGGATGGATTTGAAAATACTGAGGATTCATGGTGGTGGTATATAGCTGCTTTGGGACCTTGACTATTTTGTTTCACTTGATGCATATACATTAGTAAATTCAGCTAAGTTGATAGCAAAAGATAGACAGACAGACTACTTATTTATAGCTATCACTAACAAGCTATTAATTGGATTAAGATGCCCGTACTCCGATGCTGCTTGAGGCTCATTTAGGGTTTCTGGGGCTATAGAACATGTGGAAAGACATATCAAAGACTTGGATTCGATGATGCTTACAACTGGGCAATGGGATGAGACTCTTAAAGTAGGTGAGGATACGTTTACATGGCGTGTTCTTGGCATCCATCTACTACGCTGTCTACATGTACCATACGGTCACTCAATGTATAAATGGTTTCAAACAGAAAATCAATTCATGACATTATGTACATACAGTCTGATAAATCACACCACTCTCCTGTTTTACAACTTGGCCTTGGCACCCTCCAACAGCTCGGCTCCAGCCCCCGTGATGGCAGGCTTGCCGGTGTCTACCACCGTTGTCTGGAAGATGACCACATTGCCCTCCTTCCACATCTCCGTGCGGAGGGTCTGACCGGGCAGCACCACACCAGAGAAGCGGACCTTAAGGTTCTTGAAGGCACCGTATGTGCTGAACACATGCTTGCCAGAGACACCCAGCGAGCAGAGACCGTGCAGGATAGGGGTCTTGAAGCCACCGACCTTGCTGAACTCGGGGTCGATGTGCAGAGGGTTGCGGTCGCCGTTGAGGCGGTAGAGAGCGGCCTGGTCTTCGGACGTCTTCTCCTCGACAACCGCATCGGGCTTGCGCTGAGGAGCCTTGTAGGGCGCAACGGCGGCCTTGGGGCGGGGAGCAGTGGGCTTGGGCGATCCGCCGAAGCCGCCACTGCCACGGATGAAGACGGTCGACTCATTGTAGAAGAGATCCTCGCCGGTCTTCGCGTCCTTGGTGGTGTAGCCGGAGACGACGAGGGCGGCGTTGCCCTTGTCCACGACGTCGATGAGCTTGGGGTAGGTCAAGGTCTTGGCGGCGGTGGGAATGGGGAACTTGCGGACCTCCATGTACTGCTCGCCATGCAGCAACATCATGGGGGAGAAGTTGGCGACAATATCATCCATGTTCCAGGGGTTGGCGGTGTTGAACCAAGGGATCACACCGTATGTGGGCAGAGCCTGGAAGTGCTCGTTGTTCTCGTACACCAAGGGAAGATCGGTGCGCTTGGCGCCGACACTGAGGTTGTAGAGGATGACATCCCGGTCCTCGTAGTCGAAAGGAGTTCCGTCAGTGGTGGCCTGCTTGGCCTTCTCGATGGCCTGCAGGATGTTGTTGCCGCCCTCCGAGTCACCGCCGCTGCGGTTGCTCATGTTGGCCATGATCTTCTCCGAGCCGGCCTGGCCATCCTCAGGGTGGTCCGCACGGCCATCGTCGAAGTTGGTAATCTTTTGCCAGTGCTTGAGCACCTCCTCAGGGGTAAGCTTAACGTCGACGGGGAATCCGTGACCGCCGGTACGCTGCCAGCGAGTGCGGCCGAACCAGCCGCTGCCACACTCGTACAGACCCTTGGTGCTGGGCTCAGGCACAATGTCCGAGCACAGAAGAGCCACCAGGGGAGCAACGTAGTCAGGCTTGAACGCCTGGACCATCTCCTCGGGCATGATGGTACGGGTCATGTTGGTACCAGCATTGGGGGCAATGGTGTTGACCTTGATGTTGTATTTAGCACCCTCAAGAGCAAGAGTGCGGGAGAAACCAAGGATTCCGAGTTTCTAAGACAATTAGTGAAAGAAGCTAGAAAATCAGCATTGGCAGTAACATACCGCGGCGGCATAGTTGGCCTGTCCAAAGTTTCCGTAGATACCGCTGGTGCTGGCCGTGTTGACAATGCGACCATACTTCTGCTTGAGCATGTAGGGCCAGGCAGCCTTGGTCACCTTGTAGGTGCCGCGGAGGTGGACATTAAGAACAGGGTTCCACAGGTCGTCGTTCATGTTGGTGAAAGCCTTGTCACGCAAGATACCAGCGTTGTTGATCAGGATATCAATACGGCCAAAGGTATCGATGGCGGTCTTGACGACATTCTCGCCATCCTCGCAAGATGCCTTGTTTCCAACAGCCTGGCCGCCCATCTTCTTGATCTCCTGGACAACGGGCTCGGGGTCGACGAGATCGTTCACAACGACGGCAGCGCCATATTTGGCAAAGAGCAGACAGTAGGCACGACCAAGACTATGAGAACGTTAGCACCGATAGATCGCTATCACTTATCTGCGGTATTACATACCCGTTGCCACCACCAGTGACCAGAGCAACCTTGCCCTTGAAGTTGGGCTCCTCACCCGCTTGGGCGCTGGGCAGCTTCAAGCCATCCTCCAAGAGACCCATGAAGTCAGCAGGCCCGGTGGGGTAGTCAGGCTTGGAGAAGTCGTTGACATCGTTCCACTTGCGAGCAATAGCACCGGGAGTCAAAGAAGCATCGGTCTTCAGAAGAGCACCCTTGGCACGTTCCCAGCGCAGCTTGGCGACATGTCCACCACCGACTTCGTAGATTCCGCCAGTCTCAGTAGTGTTGGATGAGTGGACCAGAGCAGCCACCAACGGGACAACCCAGTCGGGCTTGAGGTTCTCCAGGACCTCGGGGGGCATGACCGTGGCCGTCATACGGCTAGCAGCTGTTTCAAATTAGCCACTGCATTTCCAGAGAAGACAAATCGACGTACCAATTGGCGCGATGACGTTCGCAATGATGTTGTACTTGGCACCTTCCTTCGCCAGCGTCTCAGTGAAGCCGACCTGTCCGAGTTTGGCAGCTTATATAGTCAGCTAAACAGCTTCTAACCTCCGAACATACCCAAGCTTACCGGAGTAGTTTGCCTGGCCGAAGCTACCGAACAGACCAGCCGAAGAAGCAGTGTTGATGATGCGGCCATACTTTTGTTTCCGGAAGTGAGGCCATGCGGCTCTTGCGCACTGTAGACAAAACCCCGCGTCAGCAACCACTTGAAGGCAGAGGCGAACGCATCCTGCCTACCTTGTATGCGCCATATGTGTGCACTCTGTAGATAAGGTCCCAGTCCTGATCTTTCATGTTCTTGAAACTGATATCCCGGAGGATACCGGCGTTGTTGAGAAGGACATCGATGCGGCCAAAGTTCTTGATGGCGGTTTCAATGATGGCTTCGCCGTTCTCGACACTGTCGTAGTTTGCTACCGCCTTGCCGCCAGCAGCTCTGATTTCATCGACAACCACATCGGCAGCCTAGAAGAGACACCCGGAGTCAGCGGGATTCGACAAAGGGCGTTGGGAAAGAGTCTGTGTAAGCATGGACACAACCTACCTTGGCCGACTTGCCCTCACCAGAATGAGAGCCACCCAGGTCGTTGACAACAACATTTGCACCTCTTGAGGCAAAGAAGAGGGCATATGCCTTACCCAGGCCACCACCAGCACCGGTGACAACCACGGTCTGGTTGTCGAAGCGCAGCTCAGACATGTTGAATAATCAATGTGAGGAGGAGAGGAGGGGAGGTGGAGAGATGGGGAGATTAGAGGGAGAGGACAGAAATGCGAAATGAGGAGAAGAGACGGGGTATTATATGAAAGTTTAGTTGGAGAGAGAGGAGAAGCTTAAGGGGACTTGGTCTGGGGGAGGGAAAGAGATGAAGAATCCGGGGGAAGAGGACGGTCGCAATGCTCGGCAAGCTGGACCAGGGAACCTCGGCATCTTTTACAGGTGAAGCTCGGAGGTTTGATCGTTTGGCGCTAAACCGATCGGGGGATGGCAGATGATGCTGCCTTCACATGCCGATGTTCCCTTTCCACGATAACTATTCTACGGCATGATTAGTATACACACTAACTAACTAACTAACTACGAAATTATTGAAGCAGGGAATTTCTCCCATGGTAATTAATTCTACAAAATTGGTATCCTTCTTCCTTAACTTTCCTCAACTTCCACCCGGTTGCCAAGATACTCCGAAACAATTATATCCCGGTTATGTTGACTGACACCTTTCTTTGTCTACCCATATAATACTATCCTACGGACTATCACCATGATGATGTCCTTCATACGATCCAACTCGACTTGTTCTGTCTAAAAAAGAACTAACTATAAGAAAATGACCTAGATCGACAACTCTGATCATGTCTGCCACCACCAACATCATCAACTGCCTGCTGACTCAGACATGTGATTCTCAGCCAACGTCATGCCACGTGCTGCTACTCCCTTTATCCTTTTCACATTAATCTCAAAGTTCAATAACATTCATACCTGCCCGATACTATTCATGAAATATACAGCAACTTCCTATGGACCACAAGTGGTGCAGTATACCCATGATAGAGATGATGCCGGCCAATCCTTCAGGCAATACATTTGTCCTCCGCAGAATCACCCGCTCGGATCACCTCCGAAGCTTAGTCTACATTAGCAGTATATATCACTGTAGCCACCAGAATATACTACCTACGCATAAAACAAATCTATTCAGTTACTACTCTCTCATTCTCCCTTAAAAGCACCAAATAATTTACTACAATCCCCCACAATGCCCGAAATAATCGACGATAAATCCCAACACTGCATCCCCTTCCTTCTGGAACGACTCCAGGCCCACCAAGCCCGCCATCCCACCAACACCCCGCCTTTCTTCCTCGGTCTAAATGGCGTGCAAGGGGCCGGTAAAACAGTCCTGGTATGATCCCCCTTTATCCCAATAATCATCACGCTCAATTACCCTTCACAAGGAAGTAAAGAAAACAAATCAGTTCACTAACAATCAATCCAATGGGGTCAAAAAGGTCTCAACCCTCCAATCCACCCTCCGCTCCCCACCCTACTCCCTCAACGTGGTGACCCTCTCCCTCGACGACCTATACCTCACACACTCGCAACAAGAACATCTCGCCGCCTCTCACCCCTCAAACCCGCTCCTCCAGCACCGCGGACAACCCGGCACCCATGACCTGACACTAGCGAAGGAAGTGTTCTCCGCGTTGCGCGCGGGCCAGCGTACCGCGGTCCCGGCGTACGATAAGTCGGCATTTTCGGGACAGGGCGATCGCGTGCCTCCGTCGCAGTGGGAGGTGGTGAACAAGGAGGGTGAGGAGAAGGTGAAGGTGGTGATTTTCGAGGGGTGGTGTGTTGGATTTCGTGCGTGGGATGAGGAGGTGCTGAAGAGGAAGTGGGAGGATGCGGTTAGGTTGAGGGAAGCTGCTGCTGCTGGTCAGAGTGAGTATAAGGGGAGATTGGGGCATGTGGAGTTTGAGGATGTCAAGACGGTTAATGAGGCGTTGGGGAGGTATGATGTGATTACTGAGTAAGTTTTGTCTGTCTCTGTTAGGAGATGGCAGCTAATGATGGTGGTGATTGCAGTCAGTTGGATGCGCTGATTCATATGTGAGTGGCTCATGCCAGCTTCCTAACGATTCATCTCGAGATGCTAATTGATAATGCAGTGATGCGCAAGACCTCCATTTCGTCTATGACTGGCGACAGGAGCAAGAGAGGACCCTTCGCGCTGCAAAAGGGACCGGTATGACGGAGGAACAAGTCACCAAGTTTGTTGATGGCTGTGAGTATCACTTTGGGTTAAGATTATTATCCAGATGGAGATATTCTAACTGAAGATACAGATTATCCCTCCTATGAACTCTTCACTGAAACTCTCCGAGAGGGGACATTCAAGCCTGTGCCTCATGCTACCACAGCATCTGCTCCGCCAACGGGCTGGGAGGGGAGACAGCTTCGATTAGTTGTGGATAAGAATAGAAGAGTGCAGGAGGTTATCAACATCTAAGTGCTGGATGTTTATTTTCGCGTACTTGAAGTCCGAATGGCAGAGGTTTAGATGTATATATATTGACACAGATAGATCATCTATTACTATACACACTGGTACTAGTACTAAGCGTTATCTCTTCACCAATGTAGAAAAAGACTTGAACCAAGCCAATACTTACATAGTGTTTGAAAAAAAGGAAAGGATACTATCCCAATTGTATACATTATACCAGAACGCCATATTACTGTTCTCCGTAGTACGAGTACCATCAGTGGAAGCATTATATACCACCACAATCCTCCCTCATACTATAGATCCACAACTCAAACCCACCCCCAACTACCAAAAGAACCACGAGAGACGACATGAACCCAAGATCACTGGTAATCCAATCAAATATCCAACTCCAACTCGACAACATCATACAATACTATTGTCCCTCACTGACTGGCGACCATTTTCTGCCACCCTATCCAAAGGCGGTGAAGAAATATACAGAATCCAGGCTCACTTTTTCGGGGCTGTACAAAAGATATATCCGCTGATAGCCGCCTATGTCCGCACTTTTGTCTGCGACGTCGAAAGGATTCTGCCGGTTTTAGCGGTAAATGAGGCGGTCGGGGGTGGCAGGTGTTTGCTTTCCAGCTCCCACAAAGGCAGCAGCGGTTGCCTATGTACTGTGTACAACGCCTTCAAAGTCTTTTACAGTGAACTACATCTCAATTACAAAGGAATCAAGTCAGGTTGTACGAAGCTTTTAAATTTTTGTAACCCAGATTTTAGACCAGTACCCGCTAACTAGGAAATTTCGGAGCTCATAACAACCCGGTACGGACAAGCCCATCACCGATGATGAATCTAGTTCATCTGGCGGATGAGGCCGTTGATGTTCTCCTCACGGTTACCGTAGTCACCACCCTCGATGAAGTGCTTGAACTTGCGGGTGTGGAAGCCACCAGTGGGGTTGGAGAGCTTGAAGGGCCACAGGAAGTTGTTGGCCTGCTTGAAGTTGGGGCCAACGGTGTAGATCTCGTGGATCAGATCCTCCATGCAGACAATGCCGTACTTGCCGAGGTTCTCCTCAATGATCTGGTTGTCAGTGAGGGGAACACGCTGCTTGTCGACCTTTCCGTAACCGCGCTTGTAGACGAGCTCACGGACGGACTTGAGGTTGGGGTAACCGTAGGCAATGTAGGGGTTGATGATGGTCAACATCTCCTGGGTAGCCTTGGTAAGACGGACGAAGGTACCGTTGTTGATCTGGAGCAGACGGAGCAGCTGGAGGATCTTGCGGGGCTGGGGAGGGATCTTGTTGATACTATAACGAGCTGTTAATATCATATGATGCTGACATAGCATGTTGGAATTAACTTACCCCTTGATACGGATAACGAAGACAAGCTTGGGCTCGTCAGCAACGTAGAAGTTACCCTCCTTGCGAGCAACGCGGGCAAGGCGGATCTTCTCGCGCTCAGCATCGCGGTACTCCTTGACGTAGGACTCGGCACGCTTGAAGATGACGGCGCGCTTCTCCTTGTTGGCCTGGATTCATCTGTTAGCAGATGGTCTTGACAAATGACTCGTGAAATAAAAATCATTTGAAGCTTCTTTTTCAGCCCCGAAAGATGGTTAACGAAGCGACAGCATCGACCGTAGTCTAGTCGCGTAGTGGTTGTTGTCATCACTATAGAAGGAAGAGGGAAAGGGAATAGGAAAAGAATGGTATAAACTTACGGCCTTCTTCTTCTCGGCCTCCTCACGGGCGACAGCGCGAGCCTGCTCCTGGCTCTTGCGCTTCTTCAGGAGGGTCTCGGGGACGAGAACCTGCTCCTTGGTGGGGACAGTGCTGTTAAGGTCAGTACAGTCTGTCCGCAGTGATTACACAGACTTTCGCCGAGTGTAAGAATTGCAGCTATAGTGCCACATTCTCATACTGAAGGCATAGGATAAAAAAGCACTCGACGACATCCATTTGATCGGTGAGGTAGAAGAAAAAAATTTTCTTCTTCACTTGTCGAGCCCGCGCGGTCCAGCTCACTACTAGTCACGCATTTTCAGCAGCAACTTTCGCAAGCCGGCGGCGACTTCAACCAAGTATGATAATCCTCATCCGACAAAACCCCAAGCATAACGCTCGGGAAGTGGTGTTGACGCTTTTCGCCCATACCATGCCCCATCACGGCGCCATGGTACAAGACGATAGCTCACAACAATTGTTTTCAAGGAGAAGGTTCACAGTGCCTTCAACCTCAATACCCCAGACCGTGCCGACACCCAATCCTCATATTCCTAACGAAGTCTTAGGCGATTCAGGGGCGAGGCTCGGTCGCGGGAAAAATCGAGCTGGTGCTCAGCAACCGTTTTCAGGTCGCAGCATCTCCAGCGAGAAAGGACGACTATATCTGTAACCCTCACAAGCACCTCGAGCGATCAGCCGCAGGGGAATCTCAAAGGGAGTCTCACGTAGCAGTGGAGGCCATTGTGACGGTCCGTAGAGTTCGCGAGTTGGGCGATTGGCGAAGGCTGTCGTACTGGAAGAAGATCAAAAGGAAGAAAAAAGCCTCTGCGAATCGAGAAAAATGGGTTGTGTGGGTGGATACCACCGCTAAGCCGTATACGGCTAGCCACCCTGGCCCGCCCATTTGTTCCTTTTGGGATTCTTCAAGCCCTTATCGCTATCAGGGTATCCGCTGGTCAGGTGACAATTACTGATAAGAGCCAGTGGCAGTATGACCGCATCTATCTAGCGCTCTCGTGGTTACCCCACGCGCTCCGATAATTGAATCCCCCTCAAGAGCAGACAGCTGATCGCCATGGCTACTCGTCGAGGAGTTGGACTCGGCGCCTTCGCCAATCGCACTCAAGCCAGCCAGTCATTTGCGAATCATGGCGCCAATCTACGCTCCTCGCATCTCTCCTCTTTACAGACGCAACTGTCCGTATTCCAGTCATTACTCCACACCTTCGCGCTGGAACACAGCTCCACGATCAAATCAAACCCGACGTTTCGAGCGGAGTTTGCCCGCATGTGCAATGCTATAGGAGTCGATCCCCTCGCAGCCAGCAATGTCAAAGGAAAGAATGCGCGCAAAGGGCTAGGGGAGATTGGCAGCTTCTGGACGCAGATCATGGGTGGGGATATGAACGACTTCTACTTTGAGGTCGCTGTCAGAGTGGTGGAACTTTGTCGCGCTACGCGAAGCGAGAACGGCGGGTTAATTGGTGTTGAGGAGTGTCGGAAACGAGTAGGCAAGGGCAAGGCTATTGGTAGTGGACTGGAGGTTACAGAGTACGTACTCACTCACCCTTTGCTCTACCCACAACGAGTGACACAGTAACTGACATGCGACATGAAGTGACGATGTTCTCCGAGCTGTCAAGAGTCTGGAACCCCTAGGCTCTGGGTTCTCGATTGTACATGTCGGCAGCAAGCAATATATTCGATCGATTCCCAAAGAGCTAAACACTGATCAGGCTACGGTCCTCGAAGCTATTCAGGTCCTTGGCTACGTAAGCATCTCTATGCTTCAAGCGAATCTGAACTGGGAGAAGGCTCGAGCACAGACTGTCATTGATGATCTACTGGCGGATGGCCTTGTCTGGCTGGATGCTCAAGCGGAGGAAAATGAGTATTGGTCACCTCAAAACCTGCTAGATGACAGTGGGTGAGCATGCTTTGCCGAAGGCTACTGCTG